CTCTTGGAGGAGAGACGAAACGTTTCATTAAAGAAGAACCCGTCCAGAAGACCTATACAATTTTTTCTTTATGAGCAGAAACAATTTTTTTGCCTTTTTGTGACATCTAATAATAAATGAAGTCTAGAACTACTTCCTAAAGCTCAGTACAGTACAAGTAAACTACATACATGTACAGTATAACATTCACTTGTCTAAATGCACCAACTGGCCGGTACTTTTTATACTAAAYATACTTTTTCCAGTTTTATTCTACTAAAGATTTGTTCCATGAATCACGAGGGCTCTCGTGGCATGCAAATCAGTTTAAACTCACTTTAGGTCTGACCATTTGAAAGGAATAACCTTGGACTATTCAGACATTCATTAAATGGAGAAGTTATTCCCGCAGGCCTATAGAGCGAGCGGCGGCCCCCAGGGTCTGTGTGGAGGGTCTGGTGTTAACGGGGTTAGTGATGGCTCACTGCTCTCCAAAAGCCTCCTGCTGGTACTGTACACAGACAGGACAACTCTGCTTTAGTCTGCTCTCATTTAATTGGCGTGTTTAATGAGAGCGCACACAAAAAGAGGCATTCGCATAATGCTGTTCACTTGTGCACAGGAACACACACGAATGACCGTCCTTACAGTTTTTTGTAATTGTTTAGGTTTAATGCAGTTAGAACACAGCCAAATGAGCATTAAGTTAGCAAGTTTTAAAGCAGAAAGATTTTTAAAAATGTAATCTTGTTTTAAAGAAACAACTGAACAAACTACCTGGTTTTACATTTGATGAACACAGAAACTTTTWAGGGGCATTTTCACAGTTCTGACAGTGTAAAACCATTAAAAAGATCGATTTAATGCAGGTGAATGTCAGTTCATCCAAACTGAATGAACTATGTTTATTTTGCCATACATCATTTTTGCAACTTAATCTTTTCTTCAAACTTCGTCCTGTTTTAGTCATTCATGTAGTAAAACCTTATGCTCATTCAAACCTCATGACTTTTGTTTTTTGGGGGTTTTTTGTAACTTTTACACATTTGAAAATATTTCATCTTATTTACAAAAATTTCTTGCATTAAAATACATCGGGATCATGTCCCTCCTTCAAAAATTGTTCTCTGTTTACTTGTATTTTTGTTTTCTTTAAGTTTTTGGCTACTATTCTGCTACTATTAGCTTTTASCTAGGTTTTTAACTTTCGTTCTGCTTGTTTTAACTTTAACAATTGAGATTGAGCTTTAACGAATTTCAGCAAACTCATTCAACACCCAAGATTCATACTGCAGTTTCACAGAAATTTGTATTTCTAATCTTAATCTGTTTTGCACGAAATAAAATTTATTGTTTTGATTTGTTTCTGAATTTTGTGTAGTGCCAGTTGTGTAGACAACCTTTGTTCTGAATTGGTTTAGCATCAATAAACTGCATTTAACTGAATTGAATGACCAAGATCCRTTAACTCTAATTTGGGCATGGCAGGCCGGTGCAGTAGTTTCACTTTTAGTCATATTTCACAGAAGGAAGCAGGTTTGCTATGCAATTTTGGTCTGTAACATGTCAATTTGTGCAGATTGTCCATATTTTACACAGATTTTACACCATTTTGCATGTATACAGACATACAGACAAAAYGTTTTGGCGTTAAAAAACTCATCTTCACATTCATTTTACATCTCAGAGACAACCTTCAAAGAAATGCTGTTTGCTCTCTCCTCCTCCCACTAGTAGATTATTTATTTGTTATAATGCTGTTTCTTTGCAATATAGCTTATATTGTGAGAAAGCCTGTTAATTTCTCCTTTGTAAGGAGAATTTGTGAGCAGCAGAGCTATGTGGGTTTTGCACCTGAAAAATTAGCCAAATTTTTTCTGTTGTTGCCAAACAGCTTATTTTGTTTTGACCTTCTAGTACCCTCAGGTGCTTCCAATCAGGTGCCCGATATAAGAGTTGTGTCCAAAAACCATTGTTACAACAAAGAAATAATCTACTAAACACAAAGTTCCTTACTTTTTGTGCTGAGTTAAAACAAACAACTTGTAGCTTGTCCTACATTTTCACTTCAGACTTGGGTCCTTCACTAGAGCACATGAGCTTGAGGGTTCTGTTCAGTATCTTAGCTGTTCCTACTGAGCTCTTCTGGAAGAAGGTCTCTCAGGTTGAGGAAGAATCTTTGTTTGGAGAATGCATCAAGCTGCCAATCTGACACACCTGGAACTAATTGTCTGCTGGCTGGGGCTTCTACAGCAGGCAAAATAAGTATTGAACACGTCACCATTTTTCTCAGTAAATATATTACTAGAGGAGCTAATGAC